AGATGGCCATTCATATTTCGATGATCTGCACACCACACAGTTTTGTATTTTAATTAAGTGCTTAGTTGTGGCACTTTATAGGTTTTCGTTTAATTTTTTGGGCGTGACTATTCTCCGATTAGGCCCAATATTTCGAATACCAATCTCCCTTGGTTGCAAAAGATCAAGTGGACCAAGTTTCGTCAAGATATCTAAATTTTTGCTTAAGTTATCGCTTGTACGAACCGACGGATAGACAGTCACTCAGAATTTAAATCGTCATGTCATTCTGATTATTTATATATACATACATATGTACGATATCTCATTCAGTTTTAGGAGCTCTTAACAACCGTTAGGTGAGTGAAACTACAATACTCTGTAGCAACATGTTTCGTGAGTATAAAAGAAGACATAACTAGTAATCATGGTGTTGAAAATAGTAATATGTACAATGGAGTTCAGAATATAGAATAGAAAGGTAAAATTACAAGTGAAAGTATCTAGTAGTTATACTATTATATTGTTATATTATACAAGTATGATTTATATACATATGTATATATGTATATGCAAAGTCCCCTCTACAGCTGTATACTAGCAGAATACTTCAAATGGTTCAAAATATTTGCAGTGAAAATTTATGAGCCTTTTATCAAAAAAAGTGATTCAATTTTTTTAAAGCTATTGATGAAAGCTGCAAAAGGATACTCGGCAGAAATATGAATATGGAAGTGGGTTCGAAAAGTGTGTGTAGTATGTGCGTATGCACGTGAGAAGATATGTAAATACTAGTGTATGGACAAAGTTAGTACTCGTGTTCGGCGATAAATGTTGGTGCAAATGGTAAAAGTGGATTAAAAATGCAAATTTGATGACAGAATGTTCAGTCGCAACGGTCAAGTATGGTATTTGCAGTTGGCACACAAGTTGCATGCAAATTGCTCACAATTTCAAAATGACCATGAATAACTGCCAAAAGTACTACTTCTACCACAATACTAGTACTAGAAATATTTTTGCTTTTAGAGAGAATAAACCGACAGGTTCGGTCTACCATTAAAATAGCGACGGAATTCACTTATTATCAGTATTCTTTGAATATTTGCTCTACTATCGCATATGTTCATATATTCAATGGTAGGAATTATAGTTATTGGTATTAAAGCTTTAAACTTCATATAAATTTAGAAATTATTTCAGTGCTATAAAAACCATGATCAATCCCAATTTTTAAAAATATTTTACTACTAAATCGAACATATTTCAGTACTAATGCTATATTTTCGATCACTATGACTTCAAATATAGGATTCCTAAGTCTAATTTTCATCTTGATTACAGCTGAATTTAAACTCAAATCATCAAATATAATGATAATCCAGCATCGATCAATCAATAATATTAGATGATTTTCAATCAAGATCCTTATAATCGATACGTTAAGCATTCAAACAAATCAAAAAAATGCCTTTACGAACCTTTCGAATCACTGCATTGCCATTATAATAAATAGGCGGCTCATTAAACTCTTCCTCAATCCACGAGACGACTTTCTCAGATACAAAGGGGGGTACGGGCACACCCCAGATGCGTTTATTCTCCTCCGGTTCTTCAGTTTCCGGCGAGATGTTGTCAAAGTTTAGACGTAATGAAGATGTTGGTGAAAGTGAGCGTTCAACTTCATTAAACTTATTCATGAATTTCGTAAAATCCATACTGTCCGCAGCAATGGTATACAATTCAGGATACAATTTGGTAACAGAAACCAAATGTTTTTGCACGTCTTCACGATATTTGCACACACTTTGGTCAGCAGTTTATTTAATCAATAATTATATTAACATACATATGTATATAGAGAGGAGTTAAAGCCAAAAAGTTGCTTACAGATACACAAGTGAAAATTCACTTCAACTTTGGCAAGAATGACCGAGGGCATTACCGCTGGAGTAGTCAAAATATAAGCGCTAACTAAGCTAACAAAACGTAAGTATCGACCAATTCAATCAATTAAGTACTTTCACTTTTGAAAACACAAGCACGGCACAGCTTTTGTGGAGGTGGGAGTGATTGCACTGGTCGGTTTGGGTGTTATTTTAAATTGAAATACCCGATTATGGGAGAGGAGCGAACAAACGAACTTATTTCAATGAAAAGCATGCACGATTTTCCGATGACTGTTGTGTCATCTTGTAACGGTAAACTCGAACTCAATAATTACATGGAAAGCAAAAGTCGCTGAGGCGCCAGTTCTATAGAGAAGTGGGAAATTTCCAGTCGAAATGGCATCTCTCCTGGAAGCCGAATCTGAGAAAAACCATTTAAATATCTCAGTTGCTTTGCCAATAATTTGCCATAAATACCTTTATGAATAAAATATTGTAATACTAATTATAAAGAAAATTTTTATGTAATTCAAGTTCATAAAAAGTAAAGGTAAGTGTTATATTGCTAACAAATACTGTTTTACCATGGAAAGTTGAGGTATAGAATATGCAAACTAGGACATGCGCATAACAGTAAAAACAAATTTTTATACTAGAGCGCAACATGTGGCACAGAGTATAATAGTATTGTACAAAATTTAAAATAATTAACATTTCCAATGAAATATTAATCAATTCTTATGTTTTTAAAATATTTGATTATAGGTGTGGAACTGACCACATTTATGCCAAGAAATGTGTGCCAAAATCGCGCAAGATTTTTGTAATCGCAATATTAAAGTTAAGGTTTCGAAACTTTTTAACTGGAACGAGAAATAGCTTCTATAACGGCGATCTACAAATGCATATCACAACGAATAAAACTAAGTCTGTCTTTTGGGCAAAGTTTTAGAATGGGCAAAACGGGGTAACATGTGAAAAAATGTTTTATGTACAATAGTGGGTGCTTTTTACGCTCTCTAGTTAAATCCTTGCAGGGGTTCATTTTTACCGTAATTAAATGTATAACTATGTAGATCCGAAACCGTAACCGGCCAAAGGTTACATTCAACGGAAAACGCTTTGATAGCTTTTTCTAGCCTTTTGCTCCAAGTAACCCTTAAGTCAGACTAAGGTTACTTAATATGGGAAAAGAGATCCTTTATAAATATCTTTATATTGGTTTTATCGGCGGGTCTACGTTACAGGAACGACAGTCAACACGGTAGCAGTCCTACAAATTTTTTAAGGGACGTTTTTTACCGCTACATCAACAACAATGACAGCTATATATTATAATGATTTGAATAATTTCTTCGGAAATGGAAGCGTTGTCTTGTACCATAATCTACGCCAAATTTGGTGAATATATATCTTCAAATAAAAAGGTTTTCTTTCCATACAAGAACTTGATTTTGAACAGTCAGTTTGTATGGCAGTTACATATATGCTCTGGTGGACTGATCTGAACAATTTGTTCGGAGATTTTAACCTTTTTGAAAACTTAATATACATTGTTCAAGGAATATTGATTGGTTACATAGAAAACCGTAACGAGATTCATATGCGAAGTGGTACACAACTTCATACACAAATTAAAAACATCTTAAATAATAATAGTTTTTGAATAAATGTACGCCTTATTCCTTTGAGAATACAGAGTAAATTAAAACGTTTAGACCCAACGCTTAAATTAGTTCAAAATGGAATTTATTAATTGTGATTAAATGACTATCTATCATTTTTTATTATCTTTTTTAATGTATATACCAATGTAAACACATCTGTACCATAACTGTCACATTCATTATTGATTTTATTAGATTTTCGCTGCAGCAAACGCTAATACAACACCTGTAGATAACGATTATACAAACTAGATTACTGTAAAATTGTTTTTACGAATCAAGACATAACTTAGTTTCCTATATACTTAAAAGACTACAAATGATGACTCAACTAACCAACCGGTGTTGGTCACAGGACATTAACAAATGCATCCAGATTAAAAAACCTTGGGAGCGGCACATTAAACAATGGATATATGTACCTACATATATAAATAATATTTTAATGTTTATTATCTGTACCTTGGCTAATTTAATGTCATCCATGGTCTTTGAACTTGGGAGTGTATTAGAGTAATAGTAATATTACAGCACAATATATGTATTTGGGTTTTACACTTCCAGCTGTTGAAATACAAGTTTTTTCACCAAGAACTTTCACTTGAAAACGCGTTTTAGAACGGTAAAAAAAAGAGAACTTCTCACATTAATATATATGTAGTTTGGACTAATGAAAGCTTTTATCACATTTTTAAATCGAATAATAATATCGAAATCCGTATATTTTTTACTTAATCCAAGAGCAGAATTTTGCAGAAGCTACGAAGAATTTAGATCCCGACAAGTTCAACCAAACAATAAGCGACGAATAATCGGAAGACAACAAAACAGATGACGTTTCATATGTCAGCATTATTGCAGGAATTCAACTTTTCAATTGATATGGCAACACTACTTCTATGTGCAACGAATTTTTATTTTGTTACACATCATTATTCCAAAAAATTTCCGTTAACATTCAAATTGAATAATTCCCTTAGTGGGATTTTAAAAAGCTTCTGGACCTTGAAACTTATAACATTTCCTTTAATTTTATCTTTGTAGCGTCAGATAGCATTGGAAATCTCCAATGTATATGACAATGTCAAACTTGCCCTATTACTTGATAATATTGTCGAGATACACCAGCACTCTGAAAACAAATTCTTTTAGCCAATTGCTAACATTTGGACTAATTGCCTCAGCAGGTGAAAAATTTGTTGAAGAAACTAAAACAAATGATTCCCAACGACACCCTGGTTCCATGAACACGTTATACCGATCTCACCGAGTTAGTAACACTTAGGGTACAATACCATAGGTCGCGGTGCATACCTCTACTCAGTCTATCTGTAACACTTAGATTTAGTCGAACCCTTCATTTAACTTCAACCGCTACAAATAATTGTGTTTGTAGCGTTCATTAAACGCAAGTTGTTTTAGCGATCTTAGAATTTAAACATAAATAACTGGATTGGTAAAAATATACTTTTTCCTTTCTACTTTTATTTTGCACTGAGTTTGACAGACATAAAAGAGTAATAACACTGTCAAAACCTTTTAAGAAAAATATTAATTAAAACATACATTTGTAGAAAAAACCACAATGGTGCACATACATATATACATTTGTATTATGTATGTATATACCAATATCAATACTGCTACAATGCAATATGCAAAAGGTAAAAATCAGTAAGGCACAGATGTTAGGCACCAGTTACATACAATTTTTGATATGTGCAAAATTCAAAAAGTCATTTTCGCATTCCAACATATTTTGTCCAAATGCCTTTGTTGTCGAAATATGATTTATTGCGGGAACAGATAATAGCATTCTTAAAAATTGTGGCATATGCTTCTGGAATAGCACTGTTCTTGTACAGATTATATAGAAACTCATAAATCTGAAAAGAAATATTTTAAAAAAGTTAACAAATTATTAAAAACTATTATAAATTACTTTTGCTTCCTGATCATTCCAAAATATATGCTCACACAGAAATTGCATACTCTCTGGGAAAAGTTCAAAGCGATCTTTGCGTTGTGTGGCTACAGAATCCAAATTACCAAGAAGAATGGCGCAGCCGGAGAGTACAACTACAGCTAAAATGAAAATATCTAAAAGATACAAAACTTTATCTAATTTTTCTTTGTTGGACGATTCAGCCAAGAGCGCTTGAATTTGCAAAAACATTTCCATAATCCAGTTACAAGACTGTTCGTCGCCTTTAAAGGCATATAAAGTTGAAACAAGGTGACGGAAGAAGAATGGTTGCTCCTCGCGACGAGTGGAATAAGCATCTATGATAGGTGCAAGCCACTTTAATGGGTTGGGCAACTGTGTGTTATATAACACTAAGTAGCACCTTATAATGGTGGCCTTTTTCAGTTTACCAATTGGCGTTTCCCACCAATTGGCTGGCGATGTGAGACCATCAATGGAATTGGGGTGTAAAACGGATACTACTTCTGTATATCGCTCAAATAACTACGAATAAAAGTAGAATAATCTTATTAAAACATTCACATAAGACAAAGACTAGTTACCCTCGAATCCAGATCCATAGAGTCCATATAACGTTCAATAATCAGCGTGAATATATCGAGCACTTCTGGGATGTCACATTTGCCTAAGAATATGTATTTCACACTGTCTATGAACTTTTCAAAAAGGCAGCCTGAAAAATATTTATTTATTTTTTTTAATTCTTTTCCAATGGTATTAGCATGCACTGCATAAATATTCTATTTAATTCAAAATATTAGCATAGCTTATTTTTTGATTCTACCTTCTGTAAAACCACTTAGTTGTGATTCCTTGAAACTGTATATGGCTATTTTTTCGGCGAAGTTCTTTAAAATTTGCAAGCTAACGCCATTCGAAATCTCTGGGAGCAAAGAGAATAATAGCAACAAGTCTTCTTCAAAACAATTCGGTTCGAAATCCACCAAGAAATTTTCCAGCAATCGTCGAGCGGTGCCAGAGTGCAGCAATTGATTCTTGGCGATCAGTAAGCAATATTTTCTTGCCTCAAATGAGAGGTGAAAAAAGCCGTGAAGGAAACACCAATCGAGTGGTGGAATAGGTTTTGGAAACTTCTTTGATATTGCTCTTAGTGCATTTGTTACCACGTGAGGCTCTGTTACGTGATCGCCGAATCGTGTTTGACCCACTAAATAGTTCACTACGGCACGCAATGGACTTTGTGGGAAGAGTCCTTGCAATTTGCGCGGTTCCGGCTTGCCTTCAGGTAAACGGTAAACGCCACTGCGATAGCCATTTATTTCAGCGTATATATGATGGGCAATTAAATCGGCGGCTGCGGCACCACATTCGGGACGTATTTTTTGCAGAAGATGTACCCAAACTTCGCCTGGCACCATTTCCTGCTGCAGGTCAACCACCTCGCGACCTCCAACGAACTCGCGAACTCCTGGTGTATCTTGACGATATTGCATAGGTATGTGACGCATGGAAAGTAGCGAACCGATTTCAAAATTCTTTAAAGCAGCCAGTGCTTCCCTCAGCAATTCCGGTTCGGAATCGGAGCGACTCACAGTCAACCACAGTTGTTCCAACGCCTCGTCAACTAATTGCTCATACTCGAGGGTAGGTGTATGCAGCAACGGTATGTGTGCGAAGAAACGATAAAGCGATTTTAGAGCCCTTGGTCGACGTTCGTGTCTAAATTTACTACTAATTACACGCCAAGTAGAAATTATATTCACAGTGTGACTATCACAAAGCGCTACAATAGCGTCCAGGGCATACGATGTGGCCAGATCACCAGAGTCATCAGTGCACGAGTTTAGTGTGTCGGAGAGTTTTGAAACCAAATCGGAACCGTGTTGTGCAGGTCTGAGGAATGCATAAATTGATTTCATTTATGTAAGCAATTATAGTTCAATATGTTTGTTGCTTACTTCTCATAGCAAATTTCTCGAATGGTATGTGTCTTAGCTATTTCGAATTCCCAAAGCTTGCTACTGTCTTTCTGTGGTGTTGAGAGCAACTTAATTAAAAAGAGATATGTACGTGGCTCAATGCGCCACAATCGCAGATAGAGATCCATACAAAATGTGCCATTTTCGGTTGTAAGATTTCGTACTGTATTTAAAATCATTGGTATATTATCCTGCAAGGAATGGAATCCATAAGGAATGTTATGTTTAAAGTTTTCAACGTTTAATTTACCTTAGACACGGCAAAACTTGGTAGCCCGCGAAGTAACTCCATTTGAATTTCCGGTTGTTGCTCACCAGCCAATTTAAATATATATGTCATTAAAAAATCATAGGCAATGCCACTATTAACTTTGATTATCTCTAATATAGCTTCATAAATCTTAAACCAGCAATCTATGGACGGTTCTTGCGACAAGAAGAGTGCGCGCAGAAACAAATGCAAACGCTGGCAAAACATTGAGTTCGCTTTTACATTAAGAGCATCTACAAAGGTGAAAACATCTTTGAATTCAGATTCATCAAATGATTCGACAAGTTTAGCCAAATCGAAGGCAATTGCAATATCTGGATGGAAGTAGCGTACTTGTGCCGGCGTCAAGTCGCTCGTGTGTACTTTCGTTTTTTCTACCGAATCCGTTTCTTTTCGTCGCTCAAGTATTTTGCGTACCACTTGATGGGCTAGTGCCAGACCTTCTGCGGGTATGAATGCAGTCTGAGACATCCACTGGATGATACCATCGAGACACATGTTCAGAATGTATTGATTCCCACAGCATTCCTGCACAATAATGAACGCGATTATGCGTAGCAAATCATGTAGATAATTCGGAGATAGCAAATGTAGACTCTCGGCGAGCAAAATGAGCAGAACATTGTAATGGTGCACAGTGTGCTCGCGTGTACTATGCAACACAAGCAGGAGACAGTGAAGACTGGGACGTGGATCAATGCCATATTTTGTGAGGTTGTTCACAATTAACGCTTGAAAAATGCTCAAATCAATAACGGTGGCAAAATCATTACAGTTTAGGCAGTGTTCGATAGCTTCTATTAACAATATGCTGGTGAATAGGCACGCTGTCGACGAGTTGAATTTACTCCAAGAAAAAATTTCTTGCATAAGTTGTTTAGCAGCGTTGTTCGTTTTACTTAGAGATAATAGACCAGTCCAGATGCTCTTTGAATCGGGCAGTGTTTGTGGGTTGCAGAGTATGTAAAGGAAGACCGGTCGCAAATACTCAACACTGTGCGCTTTAACCCTGTTTTGAAAAACATACAAAGGTAATCGAAATCTAATTTGAAACGTTGTATATATATATGTGCTTACTGTTGATCATGATGATTACAAATGCCTACAATCTTATTGGCTACATCGTTCATGTTCACAGCGGAACTTTGCAACAAGGTTATAAGTGGATGTTGTTGCGTTTTCAAGCCAAATTGACATTGAAAGTTTTCATTTTCCTTCAAGAGAGCGACTTTCCTCTTCAGGCCAAGCCATAAAATACTGACAATTCCTTCCGTTATAGTCGTGTACTGCGTGGAACTATAAAATGAAAATTTTATATATTATAATCAATTATTTAAAATATTTTCCAATGCAATAAAGCCAAACTCTTTTAAAGTCACATCTCGATGCCGAAGCATCAGCAATATATAAAAACGGGTTTCAGATATGGGCGTTGTGCTACTGCCAATGAATAAATTATAGGTTTCTGCCACAAGGGTTTGGGGTTATTCTTATTACACACAATTATTTTACAATAACTTTTTAATACTCCAGGAAGTTGTGAAGGTTTTTCCATTGAATGCATTTGCCTTTGTTTTTTCTATGCTTCCTCTAACAACTTGACTTAACGGTCATTAAAATTCAAGTTCAGTGCCATTTCTTATTCACGGAAGTTGGTTAGTAGCACATAACTGTGTTTTGATTGCATATCCCACAGCAAGGCCGAATACTCACACATACTAGCATAAGAAAATACACACATCTAATTTAGTTCTAATATTAAAATTAAAATATCCTGTGGTAAATAAAAGTAATCGTTTTAAATCGGAATGAATAATTGGTGATGGAATCACAATTTTTATATGCTAATGGTAACTATGCATTTCTGCGCAAAAGTTCAGTTCTTTTTGAATATCAACATTCAAAGAAACAGAAAGAGTGTATAGGTATGATTAGAATGTATATTTATTTCAATTTTCAGAAAATGTGCGTGCGGCTATCAGATTAAGTTGCTCCATTTATTTATTTTAATTTATGTTTCCCCACCCCCAATAATTAACATTTTTCAAAACACACCACCCTCCGTGTGACAATTATTTTGATTATATTTTCACAGGTGTGTATGTATGTATGCACTAGCATATGAATATATTCATACTTATCCACACATACGTATGTACATATGTATGTATGTATGTATGTATGAATGAATGAATGTATGTATGTATGCATATCCTTAGTCTTCCGTTCGGAGTTGGCAATTCATCACGGTATTTTGGAGTCATCGACCATACCACTAGTGGTAGGATATTGCAATGGGGTCACCATGTCAGCGGGCAAGTCAATGCCACGTGTCAGAATACTTAATAACACACTTGAAAATAAAGTCGAAATTTGACGGCGCAGCCGACATAGCACGGCCTGTCCAGTATTCTACAATTAATGTCGATTTACTGTTACATACATACAAATATCATGAGAAATTTCGCTTCGTAATGTTTGATATTTAGCATTTATTGCACTAATGTTTAGTAGTGCAATAATTTATGTAACGTAATACGAAGTGTTTAGTAGTTACAACGGAAGCTTAATATGAAGTACCTATTGGCATTGAGCAGAAAATTGAAACAATTACTAAATTAGCAGCTTTAATATTAAATAATTGGCGAATATTGTAAAAAAAATATGCCGTAAGATTATGTTAGAATTATTCTTGTGTTTAGTAATTGCAGTAGTCTTTCTTTGAAAAATGAATTCGAATTTAGTTTTTTCTGAATGCACTTTATTCCCTTAAATTTTTCTTCTTCTGCAATTCTACCAAAAACTAGAAATAATAAAAAAAATATTGATACCAGAGATCGTAAGCATTATAAGTTTTATTTTAAAAATCACGTAATAATGTTTACATATCGAGTTTTACGATTTGCTTCACCGATAATGGCTAATTTTGATAAGTATTATAATAAATCGTAAATAATCTTTTATTTTTGCTCAAAATAAAACTCACTTTTAGAACACAATTTCCTATGAAGTGTTTTGCTAACGTCTTTGCAAGCTCTTTTAGAACAAAATATATTTTACTTTTCTCTTTTGTGAATACCATCAAAATTTGGTAAGATATTATTATTTCGATAAGCTCGTTGCAGCTACAATCCTATTTGCCGACAAAAATTACTTTTTTAATAACTTGCATGCTTTGGATACGATAGCGATAGAATTTGCAATAGTCATGCAAACCGGGCACACATATTTCCTGTGTGAAATTTCAAGGCTTTAGCTCAATAATTACGCATGATATTCGAAATTTGTAAAATTTTCTGAGGGGCGAAAGGGGGCGTGGCAAAAACATACCATAAATTTGATCCTTGAGATGTGTTCTAAAAGGACCTGCAACAAAGTTAGCAAAAACCTTTATAAGAAACCTGTGAACTAAAAATAAGTTTTATTTTGAGCAAAAAAAAAATTACATCTAATGATTATTTACAATTGTTTTTTGCTCAAAAATAATGATTATTTACTATAAAATTTATGAAAATTAATAATTATCGGTGAAGGAAATTATAAATTTCCGAAATTAAAAAATTTTCACCGAAACGCTGAGATCGTCGAAAAAGGATTAACAGGACGTTATCTGTTTTTTTTTCTATGTCGATTCTAAGTGATTGATTTTTTCATTTAAAATTCGCAACAATAATTTTATACATACACATATATGGCTAGCCCATACCCAAAGGATGGTACTTCTTTTAATTGCTTTCTTTCTTTAAATTTCTTAACTATGCAAACAGACATGCAACGGATCAATGCGATAATGAGTAAAGTAATCGCACGAAGTGCAGCCATTTCTGTTAGCCCATAGCTTCAGCGGAAATAACGAAATAACGTTGCAGTGTAGTTTTGCGGAAGAACAATTGCACGGAAGAAAAAGGAGCAGCAAGATTGTGTTGCAAGAAGTTACAAAAAGTTGCAGCAACTATGCTATGAAAGCGATTAAACTGCTGTAAAATATGCGCAGAGCCTTGAAGTCATTTGCTTTTGATTCGCACCCATTTCCGGTGCAAGCACGATATAAAAGAGAATACCAGGTGCCACTTCAACTAAGGACGTTGTGTGTTTGTATGACAGCACGCTTTTTGTTTGTGTAATTTATATTTACCTAAAGTTCGGCAGCATGGAAATTAGCATGGTTAGCACATTGGAGGCGTCCAAAACACCACCCTCCACTAGCCTTACAAATGTCTGTGAGCTTAATAGACTCAGCTGTACAATATCCGATTTGCATTGTGTTTTTAAAAACTCAATTTCTTTAATGTTTTGTTCTGATATTTTCTTTTCGCGACTTTCGGTGATTTTCTTGAAAATTTTTTCCAGGCACGCTGAGATCTTTACTACCGACGATGCGTTTGTTATGTTCTTGAATTCATCCATTACTTGTTAGAGTTTCTATAAAAATGTTTTAGTTATTGTGCCGAAAATTAACTTTTTTACAACAAAAATCACATTCTTGCTATAATGATTAGTTGTGTTGGTGAAAAAAACCTCAAAACTTATCCGCTCCAAATTCACGTCCTATCAAGTTGCAGCCCGAACCTATAATCGCTTCTCGAAGTCCTCAATTGTGTTTCTCGCATTTAATGGTACAAGGCGCATGTCCTTTTTTACGATTGTGTTTGCCAACAATTTGCGGCTTTTGCAATACAAAACAAAAATCAGCTGATTATGACAATTTTAAGTGTTGCTGTAATTCCATATAAATGCAGTCGTTGTAGAGACTTTGGCATCTGGAGAGTTATATACAGCGACATCTACTGTATAATAGTTTACCTTCACAGAGAACAATACCAGAGAATGTTGAAGAATAGAGAAGGAGCAAATGTTAACTGAAAACTTTTTGAGTACTAATTTGTAGTTCCAGCAGAGAATGTTGATGAATATGAGAAAGGATACTTCAGAAAAAAATCTTCTTCTTCTATATATGGGAGCGATCCAGAAAGTCGTTTTTTTGTTTTTTTTAATTCATACTTAAAATATGTTCATTTTGCAAAAAAAAAAATATTTTGCTGAAATTCTTATGATTTAATAAAAATACAGCGTTTTTTTCCACACAAACATGAAGGAAAATTCTGCTTTCTTAATATAATGAAAAATAGTCTACATAAATTAATTTTAAAAACTCGCAAATTTAACCTTACCCTCCGACTACACGGACATTAGTTGTTGCCAACTATATTTCGGTAATATTTTATAGTGTTTTATAGAAATAGTGTCGCGCAGGCATGTTCGAGCTTTGAAGTGCTTAGAATTTTGAAGAAGCTAATCATAAAATTTATAAAATATATAAATATATTTGCTAATAATTTTTATTATAAAATTAGCTATACTTACACGTTCCTAAGACGTTATAATTTTTAAACAAAATTTCTGTCGGAGAATGTTAATTTATTTGATAACAGTTATTTCCTGTGGAGACAGAAGAAATATAATTTATCTCATCGATTTAATATGTCAGCTTCAATTGGCCGTTTCAAATCAGTTGAAGAGACTAATACAAACTTTTACTTAACTGCAAGTGCAAAGTCAGCAGAGAAACACTTGGACAATGTAATTAAATGCTATTTATCGAATGAAAACCAAGTAAAGAGTGTTTGAAAGTTAGTGATTACATTAGCCGACGTTAACCGATTTAAAGCCGAAAAGTCAGTGACGAAACCAAATCGAACATACAGATTTCAACTTATTAGTGTACAAAATTTTCCTGGTAAAGAAGATTTTGAAAGCCTTTTTGTTTATAATTTATTTAGTGCCTTTCACGGCATTTTTCGACAATTTGATGCTGTTTTAGACTGAGGGTGTTTCCAATACTTTTCCGACTTTTCTGCTGGGCTTGTGGAAAATACAATACTTACAATGCATGTCATTTGTTTTGCGGCTCCATTAATTTCCTTAAATGTCATGTCCACATTTTGTAGTTGTTGGCAAATGAATGAAAATAATGTACACATGGGTACACACATGCGGCGCTCTATTATTTTGGTAATGAAAAATATTTGCATTAAGTGACCGAAACATTCCAAAGGCGTTACATTGCCTGTAGGAAAAGTGCGAAGTAGTGACCGGAATTTGCGGCAAAAATATAATGACATAAATCGATTTAAGCAGCTGAAAATCTTTGCGATGGAAATAGGATCATTTAGAAATTAAGTTAAGTAGAAAAATCAGCGCAAAGACTGGCCGAGCAATTGAGATCATCATAGTGAAAATTATGTGCTTTAATATAATCGCCCATCGGCTGGTGAGTTTTACAACTTGAGCATTCTTTATCGCCTAAGAGAGCTCGTCACGGCAGAAACTGTCAGCAAAAATGATTACTAAATACTGAAAAAGGTAATGTTAGTCCAAATATATTACAGACTATTAGAAGCTGATTAGTGCTCCTGGGTACCGTCTTTCGCGCCGACGGTTCGGAGTTTCTGCCGGCATCTAAGGCGGCTCTTAATGGCGACCACATTTCTAAGTTGTGATTGTGAGTACGAATAAATGAGCTGAATGTCGTTGCGAGCTTTATTGTTATCCAGAAAGCATTCAAAAATCCTGATGTTTCCAGCTGTTATTTATTCAAAATGATTTTGGTTAACCGCAATGTGGATACGAATTCGGTTTCAAATGTGTTGGATGTGTTGAAAATATTTACTTTAAATGCGAAAAGTCTGCCTTTGATGCTTTTTAAGCAAGAAAACATATTCATAACACCAACACATGTGGGATATATACAATTAACAACAACAATATTAATTGCGAAAACACTTGAGCCGAACTTTATGAATTTACTAATTTATGGGTTGTGTTTGTTTAGAATGTTTGACCCAAAACTTAATGCGATAATGCAAACCTTCAACATGAGAGAACAACAAAAATATATAGCATATTGGGTTACATATTATCTACTCTCAAACTGGGCTAAAGTTCGAGGTTGTTTTATTAAAAAGCGTCGAAGTATAGAAAAGGAGCGTTACAATTTATTCTGAAAAAGCATTAGGTTGCACTTCTTAAAAAATTATGAAACTCACAAGTACACATATGGTAAAAACAGTAGAAATCTGTTTGTCAATAAGATGTACGAGTACAAAACATTTTACTGAACTTGTGAAACATATAAATGAGGCGAACCCAGGATGAAAAACGACGGCTATAACTTTCTTGCTTAATTTCCCATTTTATTTGAAGTTTCAAAACTACTATAAAAATAAAATCGATAATTCTTTAATACACATGTGTATAAATAAATGTGAAATTCGTCATTTAGTGAAATGTCGCAGACGTTCCTTGTTTGGCAGTAGCGAGTCCACCCAATGACTCTTGCAGTGAACGCAAAATGCCTATCGGTATCTAAACGGAATTAAAAAGAAAAATATATATTTATAATTGTTATTATAAGGTCTCTTTCAAAAACTTACATTCAAAGCACTATTCACTACCGCTGGGCCGACGTTCAAGTTGATGTCGGGTAGCGGTGATGGAGTGGCAAAATTGAAGTTATTCTTCTCCACCTGTCTGGTCAAATGCTTCGAATGTGCGACACCGGCACCAGCATTGTTGTAACTGTTGGCGTTGGCGTTGGCGCTGGCGCCAGCTTGGGCAGCATACTGAGGCAAGAGCGGAATCAAAAGCATTTATATAAATAGTGTAGTTTTTATGTTAACATATAAAGAGCGGGTTAGTTTTATTTTCATCTCACATAAATAAAGCATCATAAGTCGTAGTTGTATTGTGTGCTTTGGTTAAAATTAAAAGTGAATAAGCTTTGCTAAATATACTTGTGCTAATATGTGTGCCCAAATGGGTCCTTGTGTATATATTTAGGGAAAATACTATTAATAACATACCCAATTAAACACTAAACTTTACAGCATTACCATATTTCAAATAATTGGATGAAGTATAAAAGTAAATATTGTTTATTATTGCCCACGTTATTAAAATTTATGTAACTTTGTAATATATTTAAAAACATACAGGTATTAAATTTTTATTATATTTTCACTTGTCAAGCGGCTTTGGGAAGTGCAATTGCATGTACACGGCGTATACGTAATATTTTTATTTTGCTACGGTGACTTGAATTCAGATGCGCTTTGAACTTCAACTACAGATTAATTTTACAAAAAATCATTAACTTCGATTGCACCGAAGCTAAATGCCCTACACTGGTGCATTTCTATAGCATAAAAGGGTATAAAAACACCTTTATTTTGATTTTGATGGGTGAGTTTGTATGAATATATGAGCAGCTTCTCGGAATCTCACAAATTGACTAGTTCGCGTATATACAGACAGATGAACAGAGCGGTATGGCTAAGTTGCCTCAGCTCGTCACGCTGATCATATATATATCTATATTTGTAGAGCAGAAATTTCCTATAAGACTATGAACTTTTGAATTAAAAATTCTATTTTTTAATTGAGTTATAAAATTTAGAAGAAAAAAACTGATTTGCTCTAAAATAGTCCAATTTCAACCTTTCATATGTTTTCAGGTAGTTGGAAGCGAGATATGAATCTTTCTATCTGATCATAAGAGAAAATCGATAACGGTGTAGAGGAGGACCTTCCCGTTACAATTAAAAGCTGATACTTGGAGAGCCTTTCTTGGACGTGTTTAGCAACCAATTTTTCGGACTACCAAGCGAAAAAAAAACATTCGTTTTTTTTGACCCTCTCTTATATATATATATATATTTTATGGATCTCGAAAGTTTCTTTCTGTGTGACAAACTTTGTGGCAAACCCTATATATATCAGGGCATAACAATAATAATTAGTAATGCAAAGCGAATTTCAATCAAATTCTTCTATGCCACATCGCAAATTAGAGCTCAATTTCAGTTAACGTTAACATTGTAAAGGGTATAAACATATCTTAATTTTTTTTTTAATTATCACCAAATGGCTAATTGGGCTTAATACTATCCTGATTATATGACTTTATTTCTTTAGAGTAGTGTTTTAAATTAATAAATAACGATAAATTGGGTAAATTTCATTTCATAATTTATAATATTTTTTTTTAATTTAAAATTTTTAAATATCGACTTATTCGCACAACCACAACCAAATAACCACATAAAAATATATTCGAGTATTATTTAAACAAAAAAATATACCAAGACTTTAGCCTGAAAGCACACCAAGTATAACTACAGTTACCCCACAACGAATAAGCGAAACAGTGAGCAATAACTGAGTAGAGTAATTAAGCAAACAAAACCCAAAACAAAGCAAAAAACACAAAAAGGGAAACAATAAAAGCTGCTTGCAACAGCGACACGCCACAAAATGCATGTACAATGCCTTGCCTCACCGTTGGTGAGAGGGGCTTGGGGATGCGGGGGCAACCGCGTGTATTTAACTGCACAATTTGCATAAAATGACAAGTGTAGGGACGTTTTTTTGCATTTTGCATTATGCGCGCGTGTGAGCACATAGCAGTTGACACATTGCACCGCTATGCACGATAATGGAAGGCGGAGCGGGAAGGAAGGAATTGCATTTAGGCAGGAACAAGCGATACGAAGCGCTGGTTGTGCGCGACGTATGAGCAACTAAAATAGCAATGCCTACACCGCCCCAGTCAACTTGACTGCCACCAATACCACGGTAAATTAAGCAGACACACCGCTGCGCTACTATGTGCATCAACGTTTTTCAGTAATTATTTTCTTCCTTCAGCACCCATGCACACATTTTAATTTTCATTTATATCAAATTCTTTTTGTGGTTTCGACATTTGTTTTCCACTCGCTCGTAGCGGCTATGATACCTGCGAGTGTTGCTGCACAGCAACAACTGATTGCTGGTATTTGGTTTTTGTTGTAGGCGACGTATCTACCGCGCTAACACTAGCCTCCGTCGTCTGCTGTGTTTGCAGAAGGCGCTCCTGTTGCCGCTGCAGATGGCGTTCACGTTTATTGGGTCGGGTGCGTGACTTTTGGCGCAAGCGTTGCCGGCTTACTACGATGGTGGGTGGCGCTGCAGCATGTTCGGCACCGTCGGCTCGCTGTGGAGCGTCGCTGAGTTGCTGTGGGCTCTCGGCTTTCCCTTCGCTCTCTGTGGTGCCACGGGCGCTTGGGGCTGTTGCCGGGTGTTGTACAACGGGTACAAGTGCAGCAATTGATTTCATGACGTAGTTATGTTGTTCTTTGGCAGTGGAGGCAGCGGCGGTGCCGTCATCGCTGTCATCATTCTGGTTGCCTGATGTAGCGGTTGAAATCTCATCAGCATGATTAAGAATGTCGGTGCTGGGGGCATGACGGTTGACAGTGGTCTTACGGTCAGAATTATTGGGATTCTTATTTGCGTTATTGCTGTATGACTACATATAAGAGAGGAGGTGTGATTCAAGCGAAAATTTATTATAACAGTTTCTTTCTTCAATTATATGTATCTATCATTTGTTACTATGAAAAATAATTCAATGTTTGAAGAGAAAGTAACTTTAATAATATTATATTTATTTTATGTCAAAACGTAGATACGGATTCCATTAGTTTTGAGTTAACTAGCGACTGACAGTCTTCAAATGTTTAGAATTCTGGAAAGTTGAGCTAAATAAGACTTACAGTGACTATGTCATAGCCTTGTTCTATTTATATACAAATTTTCACATTTTTGGCATCACACATTGCAGCGTAAAGCAAAAACGTGATGATAGCAGAATTAAATAGAAAATTTGATGCGCCGGTAGTAATAGGTGATAGTAGGTAAAAAAACACAGGGGCTTGCTTTCTTTCGGTAGGTCTCTGTTAAAGTTTTACTTTGTTTTTCACTTCACTGTGTGTTTAGCTTTAGCGATAGGCATATCAGTGCAAATACTTACACTCGGTTTAATGAGATACTTCTTCGGTGGTCGGACCTTTTGAATGCCATCATACTCTGCAGAGTTGCCAGCGGGCTTAAAGTCACTGGGGCCACTAGTCACTGCGTCAACTTGATTGCTGAAAGCTCCCGGAAAGATGTGATTTTTCGTACTGGCCACAGTTCTACCGCCGGAAAAAGCTTGTGAACCCGCATAACCACCTCTGCTGGTATCTCCGCCAAGAATGGCTCCAGCACCGGTCTGTGGATTGGCCTCAGCACCGGCGTACAGTACGCCAGCGGCATCACCTGATGGTTGGAAAGTGGTTGAAACATTTAAAAAAACTGTATAATAATTAAGGCTCATCGAATTCCTATGCGAAAACTAATATAAAATGGAACTCCATTCGCACACACAGTAGTTAATTTAATAAGAAAAATTAATTAAAATCTCTCAAACGCCTCTGATTTCTGGAGCTTAATGGGTGGCACATGTACATTAATTCCCGTGAAATTAATGTGGTAAATATGAGTATTGCTTTCACATGAAACGTTTTAATAAAAAGTGTAGCGCCACACTGTTGCCATAGAATGCTTACATAATAATTAATTGCCGCCGAGAAAGTTTGAACTCACAAAGTACTCCTTAAGGAAAGGCATCAGTTACAGCATTAGGGCGCTGATACAGAAATTCGCCACAAAATAGGCAGAGTGTGGTGAAATAATGCTTTGAATATTGAATAGCAAGTAAATATATCAGTTCATAATTTGAACTAGAATTGTCACTTTTTCAGCGAGAAAAACCAAATTCGTCCTGTTAGAAGAAATATAGGTATATGAAGTATTTATATTACCATCTACACTGCCTCCTAAGCCAGCACCAGCTCTTTGTCCGAACGGTGTACCAGCCGAAGCGCTTAGGCCGCCATGCGCTGCGTTGCCAGTAAGTAGACCACCTAGACCCGCCTCAGCGTGATAACCACCAAAATTGACGCCAAATTTGCCATCTTTAAAGGTGAGAAGCTGGAAACATATAACAGTAAGTAAAAGATAAAAATATGGAATCTAATCAATTTTAATACTGTACAGTTTTTAAATAAAAATAAACAAATTCAGATAGTCAACGGTGCATTGCATCAAAACAACTGCGTACATAACAGACCAACATAAATTGGGCACTGTTATCATTTATGAGTTCGTCATGACATGCGCACACACTTAACTGGCCGAAAAGACTGAAAGCTTTACAGCGATATCTTGCACCAGTATAGGAACATATATGTTTAAAGATAGTATTGTACATATGTATACCATATGTGTGTATGAGTGTACGACTTAGATCTTATCTCTGTCAATTACAATAAATGTAAATAAGCTGGTTCGATATTGTCGATCTATCAATTCGTTATCATTATAAAGAGGTGCGTACAGTTATACTTAAACAAAATGGGACAATGCAAGTATTGAAACTATTAGTTACGCATGCAAAGCTACAAATAATGATAGTAGAAAATGTTCGTAAATGTGTGTCAATATTTCTATGTAGAGTTATATCGAAATAGCGATTTATATTTTAGTAAATATTATAAACTCATGGCATACTTCCTGTCGTTTTTAATTTCATATAATATATTATTACACGTGGCAACACCATTGGAAAAATATATGGTAATGTTACTTCGTAAAGTAAGAATAACTGAAAGAGCCACCGTTATTAGGTAATTGAATAATAATTGATTTAACTGAAATATATCTGCATTAAAATCCAAAATATATTCTACCTAATCCACCACTTTGCACTGGCATTAAGGGAATCCTTTATTTCATATTCTTTAAAAAAAAGGTCAACAGTAGTCCCATGATTATATTTTCAACTGTGCCGATCAAATGTTATATCAAATACCCGTACATATGTTCGACGTATTAAACGCAGACACTTTCAATCAGGGTTTGTGTGTTTTGAATGCTCTGTATTGGTTGGTAGTAGGCGCTTGACGGAAACGACGGCGATAGCGATATTAGTTGTGTGTTCACAGTTCTACGTGCATGGTTAATTTGGCCTGCGGTTGTTCGATATTTTCGGCGTAGCGATAATGAGTAATAAACATTCGAAAAACACCGAAAAGCTTGTGTTGCTTTCACTTTTTCTCTGCACACTCAGCACATTGCCAGCGTTATCTGGTGCGGTATCTTTAACGTGGGGTCATGTGGGCAAGTATGCCTCACCTATTTACGATGAAGAAATTAAGCTCACTGATAACAAACCGATAGTTAAAGTTACATATCCACAACAGGTGAGTTACATGTGTACTATTTACAATAACGAAAGTGAAAACAGAATAACAAATTCCCAACGTTTTTTGCAATGCACAGTCATTGAGTGTATATGTAAGCTTCCACTACTGAGATTCAGAAGTGTGTGTGTTGGCAAGTTTGGGCAAAGACGTCCACGATTCTTTCACAAGGTCGAATTGACTTATAAATAGAAGTTTTAACCTTGATAGAGTTCAAAATACACGTCGAACGGCTACTTGACAAGCAGACAGAACTTTTCTTGATCATGTAAGAATTTGTTATATATTTAAGATTGCCTTTATTCTTGGCATATTTTTCTTTGAAGAAGCTTTTTGTGTCAGAGAGTTATAGACATGACTTTAGTTGAACTTTGGTTTCAACAATCTATAGTCACAGCTGATAATCTCAGCGAAGTCAATAGCTTACCTACGAACAACTTTGCTATGAAGCACCGTTAAGGACGAATCTCATTCGTATCTGATCTATAGAGAGACTGTGAAGGTAAGCACGAAAAAATTATGTTTCGAAAACTTGCGTTAATTAGTGCAAGAACGCGCTCTCTTGAAAACCTCAGATTTTGATAAAATGTAATGTTTTTTTTTTAACAGTGTTCTATCTTTGCTCCACAGGGTGACACCAATCAGTACATCATAACCGCAATACACGCATTCGACGCAAAAACACCACTGTACACGACAGCAGACGCTGAACGCGCCGCCGATGCACATTTGGCAACCGTGAATTCTGCAAGGGTAACGGTTTTGCGCGGTGGCATTGGCTTTAATTACACAACATTACAATTTGAAATGCCAACGCCCGCTTATCAGCTATCAGCTGCAGACAGTGCTCCGAGCATTGGCGGTGACCCTGATGGCGGTAACGCTGCGAGGCGTGGTAATAACTTACGGGCACACTATCAGCTTGTTATTTACGGCATTGATTTATAGCATAAATAAACTTAATTTATTAAATTATTCTTCGGTTCTCATTTCAAATAATCATATACGAAATTAGTTAAATAATGATTTAATCTCAAAAATTTTATTTAGTTTTTTGCTTTTCATTAAATGCAACCAAATTTCGCAAATAACTGCAAACAAGGGAGAGAAATTTTTAAACTAAATGAGAAGAAAACCAAAAAAAGCCGCGTTGGAATTTCCAAGATCAAATCAAACGAAGCGAATGGCGCTGCCATGGGGGTTCACCTGTTCTTCACTTTCGCTATGCCGACTACATACGCAAAGACAAAGACAATATACAATTAACAGTTGTGTCTTTGCTCGTGCATTGTAGAGATAATAATTATTTGAAACTAACGCCTACAACCATTACCCAGTAGAGAAATTGACATTTTGACGAATTTGACATTTTGATGTCCTATGAGTTCTCAACTGACACCCTCTGCATATCTTTTCCACAGCCGCGAACTGGTAGGATGTAGTGAAACCACCGAGAGCCGATGAATAGAAATGAACATTTTGCACATTAGCGTTTGCGGCTGACACTGACACTTAGGAAGTTACTAACAGGTTAGAGCATTCCCTTTCATTGTTGTTATAAAATCATGATTTAAAACTGGCCAAAGGCATTATTACATGATCATTCCATCTAACTACCAGACCAAAACAGGCTACTTGTAGACGACCTGCGAAATTTATGGCGAAATTGGAGTAGTTTCTGAACTACATAGAGCTTATTGCGTTCCTGCAGGGTCACATTTGTCTGCTTATAGGTATGTTCTTACACCTATGATATTGTTTGCTTGCTACTTTTCCACCAAGTTTTTACAGCGGCTGTCGTGGTTGTTGCGGCGGCTTTGTGCTCGAGACTCTGCTCGGCACTTCAAGTTACGAGGAAGCATATACATACATACATACATTTTATTTAATTTGTGATGTGACACTTTTCCTCTGACAGACTGTTGTTCATACACTGGCAACACGTTGCATAGGGTATAATAGTTTTGTCCACTAAGCGTTGATATTGTAAATGATCCAAACAAAACAAAAAAAAATTATGTGCTATAACTCGGTCAACAGTTAAGCTACAGAACAAATTTAGGCTGTGCTAGTCAAACCGGATAGTAATCGCAACCACCTTTCTTATAAAGTTATGTTCGAAACTCCGAAAAGAGCGATACATTTCTAAAGAGCAATGTCAGAAAAGTAAAATTTAACGATGAGATTTAACAATTTAAATGCATTTCAACAATTGGATAATGGGCGTGGCACCACCCCCTATATGTAGGTGCAATTTCATATCTCAAAAACTAATGTATATAAATCAAATTTCATATCATTCCCATCATGTTCTCTTGTTTCCGCTTGGATATGGTTGCAATCGCACTACAAACATGCCCACCGCCAATACCATCCGATCAAATACGACTTGGACTGGTTCATATAAACTGCCCGCGTAAACCGAATCAATATATTTTTTGCCTAGTTTGTTACAACATACAATATTTTTGATGTTCTTGTGAAGTTTGATCTCTATATGTCAATTGGTGTGTATTTGGCAGCTGTTACGACATGGACGAGACGTGGGTTTATGAATATAACGTCGATACTGTTCAACAAACTAGCTAATGACACTCCAAAAATGAGCCGAAGCCGAAAAATTACATTAAAGTCGTCATAGTTTTCTTTCATTGCCGTGGTGTGGTTCATGATGAATTCGTTCCGCAGTGTATAATGGTTAATAAAGAATATAACTTGCCCGTTTTGAGGCGTTTCCGGCGATTTTCCACGACGATAATGCACCGTCACATTCTAGCATGATTGAGACCGACTTTTTGGCCAAACACGAACCGAGAGTCATTGTTGAGCCAGCGTATTAGCCTGAATTTTCTTCCTGTGACTTTTTTCTGTTTTCGTAATTCAAAAATACGTTTCCGGGCACGCTACATAAGTCCATTTATGCCATTAAAAGTCATTCGCTCTAGGCACTGAAGGACAATCCAGCCCCGGCTTACGACAAGGCGATAACAAAAATTTGTGTAAAAATATGTGAATCATCAGATGGTATAACGTTCTTAAGAGTTACCACAAACAGTGGTTCAGTCGGTATATTTCTTCGCTCAGCAAAGCTTCTAAAAAGTAGTGTTTATTCGGGTTGAAACCTAATCTTTCCTTACTTGTTGTTAAACTACAACAACCAGATAACAGAAGTAACAAGAACGGCAAGTGCTGATGCAAGGGTGGCAAGGAGGTGGGAGCAAGGCGGCAGGCATTCACTTTCAAAGTGCGCTCAAGTGTGACTAAATACTCTCGGCCAATTTGGGCTGCCATGCTTTGGCGGCAGCGCGTGTGCGTGTGTGCCTGCTTATGTGCTGGTGCGAACACTGAGTTTTCTGACCTTGCCGCGATGTCACACGAGTTTCTTGCTTTTTCCTTTACCTTTCTTCTTCGAACAAATAGATTTTTATCGCAACTTATTTTGAAATTAGCATTTTGCAAAGGTCGTGATTCATGTGTATGTGCGTGTGTGTGATCTTATAAATAGTGTGGCCATTTTTCTGATTTCTTTCGCTTTGCGATGAGGTGTATTACCGACCGGTACAACAACAACAACCGAAATGAAATTCTTATTTTCACTAATCGCGTTGGCCCTTTATTTTCTTCAGGTGCAAAGTTTATCGGTGATTTCGTTGTCCAGTTAAATTGAAATTGAAATTAAGCTCGTAAAGTTGATGATAAGCGGTGTTTATTTAGACTGCCACGAAAAAGGTCGCCATTTTCATACTTTTTCACGCCTTGCATAAATTTGCTCCTTGACACTGACACTGTCGGTTTGTGCGGTTCGGTTTTCGGTTGTTCATCATAGGGTTGGCAGTTTTTCTCATCAGATATTTTATTCCATTTGAATGAGACGAGAAAAGAAAACATTTCCCGACTAAATTTATGCAAATCAAGTTTAGAGGGCTGTTGAGGTAATCGTTAATGCCTGTTAATTTAATCAATTTATGTTATAACGGTGAGAAATAGTCATACAAAAAATGGAGAAAGCTGTGCCTTAGATCTTGAATACATAGTGCACAGCTATTTCGAAAAGGACTCTTTGAACTACATGACTTTTTCTAAACACTTTCCATGAGTTTATAGTAATTTTTGTAGTCAGACAAAAACTGGCAAAGTATTGTGGATCGAAAACTTGCTCCTCTACCCATGCGACTAACTGTTTTAAACATTTTGAACCATAAAAAGTAATTCAGTTCACCAAAACGCATAAAATAACAATTGAATCAACATAGTAAATTCGAAGTGGTCATATGAGAAGTTTATTATTGTTCCACCTTTTCAAATGGCTTTGCATTTTTGTGGATTCCACTATATCAGATTTATAGAAAGTGTGTCTCACTTTTAACTACAAATCCTCTCAAAATATATTATGTTACCTGCCTAGGATTTAATACCAATAACACAGAAATACTTTCACAACTGTCTGTGAGAAACATACAATTATGTTTGCGGAGCTACTTCTCCTGTTTGTGAGCTAGTTACTATTGTAGAAGCTTGAAGCTTTTAGCGAAACGACTTTTACTATGATTTCAAATTAAAATTTAGTGCTACAGTATTTAAAATTTGGTTCGTCAGTAGTAAAACTTTAAAGAATATGGCATGAAAGAATAAAACACTTGTTGGTGTTGAAGATTTCAGACATTTTCGGTTGAGAAAACCTAGACACGGTCAGAAGCAAGCATACTTTCCTAACGAGTAGTGATAAAACTCTCTCCAAATGTCATCAACAGCGGCCAAGGACCTATTCCCGTACAGATGTATCACAAAGTTTGAGTTGAGCTTATTTGCCAAATCTGCAATAATTTTCGTCTAATGTTCAGCTTTTGTTTGACAAATTTAGATGCAAAAAGTTGTCATAAAAAGAGGTTAAAAAGTGGCCGCAGGTGACAAATGTGCTACCAAATTTAATATTCGTATATATGTATATACGTTCAACATCCTATGGATTAGCGGGTAATCGTTTGTATGACTGTTTGCAGAAATTTGCATTTTAATGGCTACATTTTGAACTATTCATTTGTTATTTGTCTGGAATGGAATGTTTGTTTGTCTGGAGCCAAAGTGCGAAATTATTTTAATTACAAAAGCAGAATTGTAGACAAATTTATTAATCTAAATACATATACATAAATTTGCATAAATTCAGAAGTTTTTTTTTAGATTTGCTGTATGCGAACAGATAGTGCATGATTTTAAGCTGTAATTACTAATAAAAAAGTTGATGATGAGCAATGACTTTTAATGTTCTTAAAGCCTTCGGTTACTCACAATCCCCTTCAATTTTTTTATTACAAGGAAAGGGTAGAGAAGATAACCAAATGGTTACCATCGTTTGGCAAAGCTTGGAGTGTGGCGAATAGAAGAAACAACTGGTGTAAGTTAAATAGACTGGCACAATTAAATTGACGCAGAATAGCAAGAGAATATACAGCTTCAAGAGATTTCAGAATGAACAGAGTTGTAAACATTATAAGATGAGTGCACAAATTCTGTTATGAGAAATAAAAACATGTCAAAATACCAACATATAAATGGAATACAGAAAGTGAAACTGAAGACGAAATACATATGTGCGTCTAAAAGAGTTAAACTTGTAATGGAGTATGTGTAGACTTTGCCGTCACTCTATTAATCTATTAATACCTTGACTATTTATAGGTTCTAGCATCAGATTATAGGTGACCAAGGTTACTTAATTTCGTTAGCCAGTAGAATACAAGTAGTAGTTAGCTGGAGGTGGTATAGATTATCTCCCTCTCATTAACTTGCCTGGCAATTAGGTCACAAATTTCCATAACGGAAAATGATCGTTACTTACAACAACTGATAATCGAATTGTGCATTAGCACCCCGCTTACTTGCATTAATTTACTGATAATTTCTGTAATTAACCACTATAAAAGCCAGTTTGCTCACTTTAATTGCACATACACGTTAAACATCCTTATAGTATATGATTTTACGCAATGCTTCAGTAAGCTGGTTAGATCATTTTGCATATGTGTTATAACTACTGTAGTGGGTTTTTTGTAACTCAAGTGAATCAGCGTTTTGGCTGCTTGATTTATGGTTCTAACTTAAGAGTGTTCAAAGGTCGAGTGTTGCTTGCCGGTTGGATTGTCGCAAAATATTTTTAGAACTCTTTATTTCTGTTCCCTTAGGCATTTCGCAAGATCATGCGAAATTTCACATTTCTTATTTACATTTCATTTAACTTCCCTCAAGTCAGTCCAGAAGCTTTACATATACATATACAGGCGAATGAGTAGTTGTTAGCACGAGCAACTCAGTTAGTTATCAGTAGGTAGCCCGGTAGCCAAATGCGCTGCGTGTATGGGTGGCACTCACTGCTAATAAATTCAATGCATAGCAGAAGACCCCTATTGACGTCTAGAAACAGTCACTAGCCATTTTTGAGACGCCACTCCACTGCTCGTTACGTTTGAGTTCTTTTCATTTATTAAAAAATTAGCAGTGAAGAAGTTCTCCCGCTGAATTTTATATGAAAGACGAAGTGGACCCAAGTTTTAGAGAATTAAAGATAACTATAATTTTTTCATACAGCCGAGTCGCTAAAGATATAAGAGCTGCGTCAACTTATTATAGTCAATAACTTATCTTTATTGTTAAATCTTCAAAGACCCTAAATAAAATTGTGAGCCGTATAATGAATAAATAGGTATGAACTAAGGTAAGCAATAAAAATATCTGCCGTCAGTGTTGACATAATAACAGAACAAATAACGACAGTAACTGTGTAAAGGTGACAATTATATTTAATTAAAACAAAAAGTCTAACAGGTGTAAACTCGAAACGCTAAAATTAAGTTGTTTACAAATAAGCATAATTTTGATGCTTTTTGTTTTGTTTTAATTGTGCACGTGCATGTATCATATGTCTAATTACATAGTAGTATTTACACACGGGATAGATCATGGACTTATATTATTCTTCACATGGCGTTCTGTAAGTATGTATGTGTGTATGTAGCTTTTGTATATATCAGACACACATTCGCATTCAGACGCTTGTTTCTACATACTAATTAAAATAAGTACAAACACACGAGCTACTAATTTGCTTTGTAGTAGTGTATGAAGTATTTAAAACTCATCTCTCACTAGTTTTTTTGCTAGTTTTTATGCACACACTCTGTGCATGCCTATTTATATAGATTTTTTATTTGTTTTCCGTAATTAACTTTGAGTGTTTGCCCGTCGATTGGCTTTAATTGCAGCCGTTATTTTGAGGTAGCCAACTCTGGTAAAAAGCCGTGTTGAAACATTTATGAAGACACGCGCAAATACAGTGTTTAGCAAATACTTACAGTAAAGTAAAACATAGTTTAATTAAAAATATTCTTTCTTTTAAGGACACACCTAATGCAAGAATTAAAAAAATAAGTTATATCTTTAAAAATAACATACTAAATCGATAACTCGAATAAATAGTTTTTGAGTTGTAGCCTTCTAAAGGTAAGGCGGTCAGTTCAATCAGCTTCATCAGCTTAACTTCGAATGCGTTTTTGTTAAAATTAAATTTTCAAAATTTGTTGAGTAATTACTCGGAGAAAACTGATCTGATCACTATCAAAGTACTCAGCAGTCTTTTAATCTGATCAAAATCGATTTTGTCAGACCAAAATCTTAGTAGATAGTAGATAGACTTTGGCTGAAATTCAATTTTTTTGTGTAAAACGCTGCAAATTTTGTCAAATAATTTTCTAGTCAAGAATTTTGTTCTTAGGCTTCATCCACGGAGAAAGCTTGAATCACAGAAGCAGTGAAGTTTACTAACTAAATTTTAAAACAATTCATATAGTAGTTTTTTCCAAAAATCCCCACTGTCAAATCTTCATAAATAATGCGCGATTTATAATAAAATCTTCATCTATGAGAAATAAAATTGTTTACGTCCGTTTATTCGTTTAAGGAAATTTTCGAATGGCATCGGGTTTTTCGAAATTTAGAAAAAATCGGTTCAATCGTTATAGAGCTTTCCGAACATTATGGTTACACTAAATCTTATTCGATAATTGGCGCTCTCTAAAAGTTGCTTTGTCTAATTTTTTTAAGGAATTTCTGTGGGTAATGAGTCATCCGCGTTGAAAATTAATTACAAACCCGATATTTTTTAAACCATTTCTCGAGTATTATAATTTGATTCACGATAATTTTTGTGAGTTACTGTACTCACGCATGTAGAGGTACATGCCGATTGCAACTGCGCATATATATTGGCACGGCTGAGGTTTAATAACAGATATATCTTTAACTATTGCAAATATCTGCTTGCCTACAGACAGAAGCGATGTTAATTTGCAAATGGCGAATGAACAAATTTAATTAACTTATGTTATTGTAATAATGAATTGTCCGTGGTTTGTGGTTGTGTTGTTGCTGACTTTGTTTTTGCCTCATCCGTTTTTCTACATTCACATTATGAAGTTGCGATATACTCACACACACTCCCTCAAGCATGTAATTCTTCACACACACACACACATACTGTCGCGCACTCACATTAATTACTCTATTATTTCGTAATACTGTGATGTAAAAAATAAAATTTGTGTGTTCAATTGTAAATATTTGGCGTTTTACGGCTCAATTATTTTAATGTTTTTGTAAAAAAGTGTAAAAATTATAGTAAATGCAATTATTTTAAAGTTAAAAATTTAATATGGTTTAATATGTGTGTATGTGTATGGTATGTATCTTTGTGCATATTGCGGTCACTGCTACTGGTGATTTAATTTTCTGTAGTTTTATGGCTCAGGTTTGCTAATCGGTCTGATGGACTAACCTCGGCTGCAAGGAACCATAATCTCAAAATGACTTTATAGTTCAAGTAAAATTAAAATAAAATGAATGAATAAAAAATTTGTAAATAGTGGCTCAAAATACAATTTGGCAAGTGATGAAATTCAAAAATGCTTTTCCATAAGCTCCATAAGTACTCGACTTAGAAGAAGAAGGGGAACAATTTCGTTATTTTAAAAGGCTCTGAAATAGTATTAGGTCTAGTAAAAAGAAATCCATTATTTCTACGTTGAATAATATTTGGATAAGAAATTTATTCAGCATATTTAGAATTATCCGTTTCAGGTGAAATATGAGTGGTTTTATTCAACAATTTGTTGGCATTTTAAACGTAATTTTATAGAGCCACTCTCATAGACACACTCGTCTCTATTGGCACAAACAGTCGATTATAACAGTCCCTGTCAATCACACCAAACAAATAGAAATATCTTCTTGACCATTAAACCTGGCTTAGCCACCGTTAGCGCCGACTCCACAATTCGTTCGCGACCGTTTTCGATCGATGTTATCGTTATAAATGACCTATCATCACCAGTAATTTGATTTTGTTGGGATTGGCAGAAGGAAATTCAAGTCATGAGGTTATTTGCTGGTGTGGCACTTATACATCCAGTTTCTTTATATATCCAGCCTTATTTAAATGGTACTAAACGGTTTTTGGCGCCATGTTCAACTCCTTGGCAATCGAGACAGTGCTTATATGGTGAATATTTTCGAAAATTGGCCTTTCAGAGCGTAGTTCGTCATTGACATAAACATTTTTAGAATTGAGTCAATGAAACCAAAACTATGTATGATTGACTCTTACAGTAACGGTACCATAAACACAATTTACCTTTTCAGCCGCTTGGCTTACGTTTTCGGCTTTAAAATACTATAAAATATGGCGTATTTTTCTCTGCAGCTGTTCAACTTTGATGCGTCTTCAAACAATACTGAATCTGAGAAACTATCTGAGAGGGTTTCTTGGTACGAAAGTTTATCTTCTTAACGCATTATTGCGTAACATTGATTCCCAAAGCCAGCTATTGAAAAATAATGTATTTATTTTTACTAGACCTAATATCTAGGCTAACATTTTTTTCTGGTAATTCTTAACAATCATATGTCAACTATATATCCATAACTTTATCTTAATTGGTATAATTTAATAGCAGCAGCAATATTAGGCTGGTGGATTCGTACGGATATACGATTTCCGTATTCGTGTTCGCATGTTTCGGAAATGCATTAACCATTTGACTACTGACAACTGACTAAGCCATTGAGCTTTACTGACCTAAGTGGTTACTACTGTTGATTATTTGGAATCGAACAGAACACTAGGTATGCCTCTAATTATCAAGGGAAAGGCGATATAAAATATACCGAAACTGTTTAATCACAACTTTGAAGCCAATTAAGCAAGAAAAATATTTAAATGGCTTAAATGCTGGATTTCTTTTGCCACACCAACACAGTAACAATTAAGTTAACTTAAATAATTGGTTTGTGTTTTTCATTAAACTCAAATTGTCTGACTCACCTGCGGTGCGGCGGTTGCCAAGTGTAGCACATATGCCAGAGATAGGAATTTCAGTAACATTTCGGTGCGTTCGTGTTGTTGTTGTGCGAGTTTGTTCGTTGGTGGGACAAGTGTGTATGCACGGATTGAATTAATTTGTTGGCTTCGTTGACAGCAAATACAAAAAGCAAATGCAGGAATTCTTTTGCGCAATTGAATTATATTTATTTAAATTCAATGGTTTCGCTTAATTGTGCACAACAATTGAACAACTGATTTTGCATTCACTGCGCGTCGAACACGTCGGGTTCTCAATTCTCCGTTTTGGTGGCCGTCTCCTGCGGATACATAAAATGAATTTGTATGCGCGTGCCTTTGGAAAAAATAATGCTCGAATATAATTTGTTACTTTTTACACTTCAATCGATTTTATTTAAACACTTGTAATGAGTATTTTATTATATAATATTTGTTCCTCAAATATTGTTTGTAATCGTACGCGTTGTACTCATTCGAATAACTGTTCAAGTTTCAAGTCCGTTGCCGGTGGCCGCTGGTGTTGCACTGATTTAAAGCCGCGGTTGTGCTGTTGTAAACTTTCCTGGCGATTGGTCAACAACAAACATGTGAACGGCGCTGCTGGTCGCGCTTCAACTGGAATCGGCGCGGCAGCTTCAAGCTTCTACTGCACACAGCTTAGAGCTTTAAGTAATTAACATGTTCTTGTTGTTTTACAACGTTTATTGTGTTATTATTATTGTTTCTATCTTTACGGCGGCTGCTGAGGTTGTAGATCGTGTTTTGTATGTTTCGCTTGAAACTTGGCCGGTTTGCCATAAAAACACACTGAATTCGCCAACTTTTCCATTGCCCCCTAGAAGAGTGTATGTGTGTGTGTACCTATTGCTTTTTGCATGTAGATCAGATGTAATCCGACAATCTTGACTCATTTAAAAGCATCAGCGCTTCGGCTCTACGCTGGAATCCCAAGTTCGTACTTTGCTTGGCCGATCCGGTTCTGGTTCAGTTGGAATTAAGCGCATTGTTTTGAATTTAAATTTGCAAAACGAGAAATTACGTTACTGTTCAAGGTGCAAATTTTTTCCGTGTTCTTACAAAATGAAAAGACAAAATAAATAATAAAATAAAATAAATTTAATTGAAGAACAATAAACTTAAGGAAAAGCGATTTGATATTTGTTTAATTAAGTATTTATAAATATTTTTGCATAAATAATTTGGTGATTCGGGATTAATGTAAAGAGTTACATGTAGAATTTAAGACATGATGTATCTTCAAGTATGACCTCATTACATTGTCAAAGACATATAGACTCCAGTAATCGTAAAATTACTGCGACAAACTATTTTGTTGAATATATTATTTGCTAATTTTAGTAAACATTTTGGGTGACTAACGGTAACCTCCTGATATTTTCGGTCTTCAAGTTACGGTGAGTTTCGGCATTTATTTTTAAAATAAAAATTTATTTTTTTAATCTGCGAATACATATCGTTCGTTAAATTTTACGCTGCGATGATGAACTTTTCAGCGTTTGTTCACTGACATTATTGTCTCTCACTGAACTTTTGAACTTTCCCTATCTTCCCAAGCGGCCATAATGATATGTCTTATCAACTGTTATCATTTCTTGAAGCAAATGAGTCGAAAGTTAAATGTCATATGCTATGACTCTTCCGGTTTAATAAACCTAATGACAAGTATATAAAATTCGAACAGCTAGCATAACATACTTAAGCCTTCTGAATTCATACCGTCCTTAGAAGCAAATAAGTTGAAAAGTATATGTTACGCCCTAGGACTTTTCCGGTTTAATAATATTACAGAAATGTATACAAAAGTCGAAAATAGCACATGAATTATCAATTCTTAGAACGCTCTATGTCACATGCTAGGACTTTTTTAACTAACGGTTGTCAAAATAAGATAAAACAAATTTAATTTACTACAATAAATTTCAACAGATTTTGTGAAAAAACAACCGATGAATATTATTAGTTCAACAGTCTATCCATAATGTCATATGATGAAATTTGACCCGGAGTTGTCAATTTAAACTGAAATTAAAAAAAAGTTTTCCTTCATTGGTACATCCGTTTTTTAAGTTGTTGTGAAGTTTGATCTTCATATGTTAATTAGTGTGCGCTTGGCGGCTGTTTGTTTACGACGATCGATAAAGTTAAAGAAATTGTTCTTGAAATTAGTCGTGTTGACAACAGAGAGATATCAGACTCAACACATTTTTGTAAATGTTTTCGGAATGAAGCGTGTCAGTGATAGACTCTACGAAAAGACCTGCATTTTTTCGAAAAACGACGTCGATTAGAGTTCGCAAAAAAATGCTTGACAACCTAGCTGGCGACCCTACTTTTATCAAACGCATCATTACTGGTAACGAGACATGGATTTATGAATATGGCGTAGAAATTCTCCAACAATCAGGTGAATGCCGCTCCAAAAATGAGCTGAAACCGAAAACAACAAAATTTGCTGAAGGCACTGAAGCCGTCGCAGCCGAGATTCGTCTAACAAGTGTATGGAAAATTGGTGGCTATTTCGAATGCGAAAATAAATATTTGTATTAAAATATGTGAAAATGTTTTGTTTTTGTCAGAACGAGTCAAATTTCAAAGTATTGGGTTTTCCAATAGGGATGATATGAGTTCTAAGTGTCATTTCGGCCATTTCGGCCATTTTTAGCATGTCATGTCATTTCATCATGGACAGATATACGCAAGAACAACGTTTACAAATTGTTCAAATTTATTATCAAAATAATCGTTCTCTAATTGCAACTTTTCGTGCGCTTTTTTAAAAAAATATTCTTCTTCGATGAGGCTTACTTTCATCTGAGTTGTGGGGTAAATAAACAAAACGGTCGATTCTGGTGCGAAGAAAATCCACAAATTATTCATGAACAACCATTAAATTCACCTAAATTGACTAGTGTGGTTTTGGACTGGTGGAATCATCGGCCCATACTTCTTACGAAATGAAGCTGGTGACACCGCTATTGTCAATGGAGAGCGGTATAGATCGATGATAACCAACTTTTTATGGCCGCAATTGGAAGAAGTTTATATTGACAACATCTGTTTTCAACAAGACGGGGCGACGTGCCACACAGCACGTGCAACAACCGAATTATAGCGAGAAAAGTTTGGAGATTCGATATTTTAAGAAATTTTGACGTTGAATGGCCTCTAAGAAGTTGTGATTTAACACCATTAGACTACTTATTGTGTGGTTATTTGAAGTCATTGCTCTTTAGCAATAAACTAAACTCTCTTCAAGCTTTAGAAGTCAATATTGAACATGCTTTCCTGACATACGACCTGGTGGAAAAAATAGTCGAAAATTGAGTTCATCCAATTCGTTCCTGCAAAAGTAGTCGTGGAGGCTATTTAAATGATGTTATACTCAGAACTTAATTGTATCGATTGTCCTTCACTTCATATAAAAAACATTTGAGTTTTCTTAACAATTAGAGTGTTTTTTTTTCAAATAAAAATAGTCTTATTGGACAACCCTGTATAATTAAACAATTGTTCTCTACTTTTTTATTTTTTAAGCAATTTTGAATTGAATAATACGCTTTAAAAAACCCATTATTGTCAATATAAAAAGAAATAAACATAAACATATTTGCTATCATATTCTGATTTTGTGTACTAACATTCAAAACTATTCAAAAGAAAGCCCCTTTTAACCTACAATTTAGAGCGTCAATTTATTCTAAAATATTCCTATCTGATTACATACACATGCTTATTTTATTGGGGGATTTCTTGCTTCTGTCTATTTCTATACCCATAGATCTCCATTTTTTGGGCCTACTGACCTGAGGCGATTTGTGTGCCGAAAAATTAATTAAACACAAGCTAATTTCGTATTCAATAGACACACGCGTCGGTGGTAACAGCAGCGACTACTGCGATTCAACCGGTACATGACGATATTTACAAAAACAAATGCGCGCTGAATATTTAAATTAAAAAAGTTGTAAATATTATGATAAATATATGTGCGCATGTGCATGCAATTACTATAATGTAATTAAAATTAATAATGCCGCTCCCAAAAGCGCTTCTGAACATCAAATACATTTTTATGAGTTACTAGTCTGCAAAAAGCTCAGAGTGTTGGACACCGGTATCTGGTATTCCTATTATATTTATTATTATTATTATATTATCAGGTTACAAAAATAGCAAACAGGGAATGTATTTGCTCGCTGTTGGAGTCTGTATCCTTTCATACTAGATGCTTCTCTTATGCTTCACACACCCAAACATATGTCTATTCATGTCATGTCTACCTACATATTATCCATACGGCTGAATGCGCAATTTGTTGGATGCACTTGGCAGTTGAGCTGCGTAGCACCCAGCGCTCTCATCAAATCTACGCGCTTTTATTAATAATTTTTAATTAACTTCTGACAACTGCACGTTATACGCTGCACAGATAAGCGCGGCTGTTCTTGTTGTTACTGTTGCTGTTTTTCGCTATTTGCGAAATAAACGCGAAGGAAGTTCAGTGAAGTTAATTTGATTTGTTGTTTTTAGCTGTCATGATCGGAGGTCGTTTGCTTTCTTGCTAAGCATGTTGCGTTGTGGAAGCGGCCAGTGAATATATTTTTATTCTGTATGTGGGTGTGTATGTGTGAATATTAATAATTCATTAACATTCTCTGATTATATTCCTATGGACAGTTTGAAGCGTTTTATTAAATCTGCCGTGTCTGTGAATTTAATGCGCTTCAAAGCGTTCTACTAAGAAGTGATTGCAATTAATAAATTGCAGCCTGAAAATATGTTTCTGAGCATATTATGATTAAGTGAAATAATCGCGTTGCTCAAACTTGAGTTACTTTCCGGTTTTTATTATCATTATATTTCATTGCATAATTACAGGCGCTTCAGAAGCCAGTAACTAAAGATCACAATTTCTTGTATAATGCATAAATACCGCACAATAAAGTCAAATTATAAAATACGCTTGCTTTCTTACCCTGCTCTCTATAGTTTCTCATTCTGTGCGTTCAACGCAAAATATGATTGAAAATAAGCGACTATTAGTAGGCACAGAATAGAGAACTATTTGTCGGAAGAAAAAATGATGTGCGTAGAGAAAGCCAGCATTTAACATCACATCTCCTACTACAGCAAATCTGAAGTTAACTTATGTATCACTGGGACTTGTATAAAAGTCTTGAATTGAGAAGTTCCATTGAACATATTATTTATTTGATTGGATCTAGTCAGAGAAGCTTTAGACCTATCACCTTTACAGTTGACCAAATGATCTACAGTTGATCAAATTACATACCTATTCAAACACTCGGAGACCGTAGAAAGTATATATATATATACATACAGAAATGATCAGCGTAAAGAGCTAAGCCGATTTATCTATGTGCGTTTGTATATAAGCAAACTAATCACACAGCTGATGAGATATTGTTCTGGTATTTTGCACACATCCTTTTCTCCTTAAGAAGCAGCTGCTTGTCGGAACGCATATAGCATATAGCTCCCATACAAACTGACTAATAAAAATCATGTTCTCGTATGGAAACATATTTGTCAGTTCGGACCCCTTTAGCATATTCACTGCAGCCGAAGTCAACGTTTTTTCTGGTTTTATGTTTACCAATTGCCAAGCGTTTCCATTTTATCAAAACAATCGATATTTTTTATTAATTTAGTATACTTTCTTTTATTTTGGTACATAATTTTACATAATATTTTATTTCGACATGAAAAATATAACTTATAACTAATATTAACATTGTTTATCTTAAAGTAAACTTAAAGTGTCACTAAAGTAATATCACATCAACAATTAGAACAGAAGTATGCCAAAGAGCACATCGACTTGGGAGAAATAAACGTAAAAATAAACACGGAAAATTACTTTACAAAGCAAAGCTGCGCAGACAAAGACAGTGTCAATGCTTGAGCACCTCTGCGCTTAACAATTAACTCGAATGACAAATACAACAATTAAATGATATGAAAGAAATGTGCGAAAGCTGTTTAAAAGGAAAATGGCTAATAGAAAGTGAAAGTTTAATTGAGCCGAGTGAATGTACAGCAATTTGCGAAGGAAATGTGAAAGAAGGAGCAATTAACGGTTGATGAGACAGCGTTGCCCCCACAACGTTACACTTGGCTTAATTCCCTACTTTTAAAGACGGTACACGAGAACAACAACAAGGTGCGAAGAAAAAACTGCCAACTAATTGCAAACTTTAGAACAAGTTTATGCAAATGTGTGCACACCGAATCGCGAAGGAACTGCCGCAAAGAGCAGCTACAACACAAACAAACACCTGACGAAACACCCAACACATACAGAGACAAGGGCACGAGCAAACAAATAAGCGAATACTGAAGTGAATGAATGAATGTGATGGAGTCGCGGAGTCGGTGGCGGACGGAAAGAAGTGCAAATGAACTAGTTAAGACAAAGGTCGCTTAAGTGCGCGGATGGGAGCGGGAGGAGAACGCGTGCTGCTTGGAAGAACGTGCTTATTGGCAGGCGTGAAATTGACATGCGTTGTCACTGGCTCCGTTACATGGCGGCAGTTATTGCGCTTCCTCCCCCTTTATTTTTTTTCATTTGGGCAAGTGATTGTGCGCCAACAATAGCGCTCCGAATTACGCGTTCACCTCACGCAGCAGCGACCTTTGCTGCCTTATAGTAAGATTGCTTTCCTTATTGTTGGTGTTGTCATTGTCACTGCTGTCTGGCTGTGATTGTGGCATCGCGGCTGAACCGTAGAGAGTTGTTGTCGCTTTCGCCGCTCTTGCGCGTTCAACGCCATCGTCGCCTGGCAGTGAGCGAAGAGCCTGCAGTGCGTCCAGGTTCGCGTTGTCATTCGCAGACTTGAGCACGCCTGCGGTCATTGATGGCACCTGGTGTTGATAGCTGCCGGTTAAACGCCCTACCAGATTGTTGACAGCTCGTAGAGTGGATATCGGAATCTGTAAGGAAGAGAACAATAATGAAATCTTTTAAGTGATTTGCGGTGCCAGTGTGAGTGTACTATGCTCGTTGTTGTTGTAGTTTTTTCAACTACTTTATGCCTATCATTTCGTAGCAAATTTACCGAAATATTGTGCGCACATTATATTTAATTGAGAACTGGCGGTTGTTTATTGAATTTACGCTCCAGTCAGCGAACTTACCTCGAAGATGCTGTCAATTAGCGGGCGAAAACTGAAGGGAAAGCCTACTGCGGCGGAATCCGCATTTGCTGATGGTCCCGACATAACGGCCGAGTTTGGTTGATTGTTAGGATTGTTGTTGTTATTGTAATTGTTATTGTTGCCGTATCTGTTGTTGTAGTTGCTATTTGGATATATGTTGTTGTATTGCGATAGTTGTTGGTCGTAGAGACCGTAATCCTCGCCGGGGTAAAAAATCATGTTCGCCACTGCCATCGGCCGAACGGAAGACTATAAAAGAGCGCATGTGAAAAAAGAAAAGAATTATTGTGGTCTCAATGCTAATTAAGATTAAGATTAGAGTTATAAAGTATTAATACGAAAAATATGTTTATCGCAACTCCGAGGGGGGGATTTAAATATTTACTAAGAATTTGTCAAGTTCAAAAGGTAATTGTAATAAATTTTGTGTAATGTATGCTTTAAAAAAGTATCGCATACGACAAACGACAAACAATCCCGTTAAGTAGCTGTACTATTATTAGAGTTGCCGGCTTATCCAAAATAAGTCAAAAGTATTTCACTAGATATGTTGCAGTTATGCTTTAAGTTATTCATTGAGGTATATAAGTGCATCGGTCTTAATCAAAGTTAGTCATAAAATGTAATAAAAATAATCAAACATAAATCAATATGAAGCACGAACTAATTTACTGCTGCATTAAAAAACACAGTAATCATTGCTAAAATAACTGTTTCCACCCTTTTAATATTGCTGCCTCCTCTAAAAATATCGCTAAATTAATTAGCAGTAAACTTTGACGGGCAATAATTGAAAATCCGATAGGAAAATATATTTACTGCGGGCTTTAAAAAACCTTTTATGACTGCAACCGCCCCCTTGCAATTACTTAGTGGCAAAATAAAACAAAGACAATTGCTCAAAACGTTCACGATTGCACTCAAGTGGGCACTTACATCATTGAGTAGAACCACGTCGTGTCGGTTGCCGCGCGCATACCCAGTGACGCGTGTGAACTCTGTCACCAAGTGCGACATGACGACGAGCAGAACGAACCACACGAAACGATCCATTGCCGTGATGATGATCTGCAAGTACAAGAGCATAAAATTGAGGCATTACAAATTTGGTAATAATAGCAGAGGCTGGGAAAATTGTAAAGAGATATGTATTAGGGTGGAGCAAAATTTTTTTTTTTTAATCTAGTGGCGGCTCACTCACTTTTAAAGTAAATTTTCGATTTAAAATTTTTATATCCTAAATACAATTTGATAAGTGTTCTAGAAACTGTGGATAGTCCTCTTTCTGGCCAATAAAAAGTTATCAATTTAAAAAAAATGTTTGTGGTCAATATTGGAGTTTTAAAAAAAGTCTTAAACAACAACATGCTTTCCTTAAGCGTTAAAATAAATTTTGAGTCAAAAACCGTCAAAATCGGTAATTTTTATATAAATGTGAAGAGTTTAAACCAAAAAAATTCTTTTTTCCAAAATGTTTACATTTAAGAAAATATTTATGTCTACAATTTTTTGAAAACTCGCTTATATATAATATTATATAATATACTTAAAAGCCACGCACATCATTGTTAAAACTCATTTTTGTAATAGTTGGTCTAAGATCCTTAAAAAATATTTTCGCACTCGAAATTCAACAATCCGCACACAATGACAGAAACATTTAATTTATGCTTAAAATTGAATGTGATTGCCAAGGAGGGCGAGCTAAATGCAACGAGAACGCTTTGAACTCGTTTGCGGCACGTTTACTTCGCGCGCCACTTGTGGCATGGACCGGTGTGTCAAGTTCAATCAGCGCTCTAAGCGATTTATTGCCGATAGTGATTTCAACTCGATTTCGAACTTCACCCAACGATGACTGAAAACGTTCTGAAGCACTTGAACGCTGCGTTGCCGATTTGTGTAAATAAAATTGCTAAATTGATATTTGAAAAGCGCCAAACGAGCAGAATGCGGCGATCGGCCTGCTGTTGCCTTCAAAGTGAAGCTTCGTCGTTGTTGTTGTTGGTAATTTTAGTAGGTCTTTGTGGATTTATTTTCAGGTTTGTTTCAAAAAACGAATTCTTGTTTTAATATGTTTTTTTTTAAAATTTTTTGCTAATACTCTGCTGTTTGTCTAGAATAGAATGCTTGAGTATCATTGAGTCAATTGCTTTTTAAATATTTTGCACAATGAATTCAATAAAAGTAATAGAAAAAAAAAAAAAAATTAAGCAACAACAATCGTTAGCATTGCAGCGCAGTGACTGCGGTCAGTGGTAGCGCTTTTGGCGATCAGCGTAGCAAAAAAGTCATAATTAGAATCACGAAACAAAAGACTTAAGACACAAACGCGCCGAATGCGCATGTTCGTCGGGCGCTGAGGGCGTACAAGCACCACTTACAGCTGTTTGTTGCGCTTTCGTTGCCGCCATCAAACAACACATATCGAATGTTGCTACTGTGCGCTGTTGTTGTTGCTGTAGGTGTTGAAGGTGTTGCTGGTTTGCGGTTGCGCGGTAGGCCGACGCTGTCTATTGTTCGTTGCTACATTCGCGCTGGGGTTGTGTTCTTAAATGTGGATTAGCACAAGGCCAACACGATCGCACGCAGCGTTGCAATTGAACACACACAAAACCAACAACAAAAATATGCAAAAAACTCTAAAATATTAATAAAAAAATTAAGAATCAGCAAATGCAGTTGACTCAGTCCAAACCGGTTTTCGTTTGTTTTGCATTTTTTGAATTAAAAATATATTTTTTATTGATCGCCAGCGGATTTTTGTGCGCAATATAATCTGTTTAGAATTTTAGCCAAATTTTTGCTGCACAACGTTCGAGCTGCCTAGCTTCTCAGCCTGGGAATTCGCGTCTCGCGCTCGCTTGGTCATTGTAAATTGTTTTTGTGTTCTATGCCGTACAACTTGCAACAACAGAGCCGATACAAAGTCGTCTGACCATGTGGTGGCTGCAAATTTGTGCAACACTTCGGCCATGACTGTCAAGTTGGCAAATAACAGTTTGCCGTTTGTAGCCGCAAATGAGTTGATTCGTGTTTTTATGGACTTCTACAAGTACGCTTTTAATTGTCGCGCTACTGTGTGCTCGTTTTCATGGCCAAACATAGCTACAATAACAAGTCACATTTGCAGCTTTGGCACTGTGGTAAAGGCGCCTACTTAATTGACTGAAAATTTCCTTAATACATTTTTTATTTCGTCAAACAATAATTTTTTTCTATTTGCATATTCTTTGCCTAAGCCGAAATCACTCATTTTCACCAGACTCCACACTAGTGAGGTCTTTTTTCGCTGTAGAATATAAAAAAGACTGCATTCATGGCCACCTCAGAAAAATACGACAAAAAAACGAGAATAGATTACCTTCTAGAATATCGCATATGGATATTTTGATTCCTATATCGGTAATGGAAACGGTTCAGTTTTACCACAACTATTTTCGAGGTTACTGTTCGAATCCTGAGAGTTACAGAAACCATGTCCTCTAAGAGTTTTAGTAAGTCTCTAGAAGATCTGTAGAGAGTTTTCGATTCATAGCGCTTGTTTTTGAAAACAGATGAAACTGCTTCACTACACCACTTCTTGATTTACACCAATTTTAAAGATCTTCCCTAAAACTATCTGTTCTCATAACTTAAAGCCACTTTCGATGCACGAGCACAAACGCCAGTAATTATCTCTCAAGGAAAAAACACTTTGAAATTTAATCACAAACTATTATGTCCGGCACCATAGTGCAGTGAGTAATGATTGCCATGTTGCAGACAAACTTCGCGATCAAAGAACGCTCGCACGCACAGTTGGATTAAATCTACTTATCTTTCACAGTAACTCGGAGCGTCTTAATGTACGCTGACAAGCGCGTAAAAATCATTTATGTTGCTCCACACCTAGATTTGTTGCTGGCAAAGAGTCAAAGGCAACCTTGTCACAGAATGTTAAGGGTATACAACCTTAAGTGGAATAGCAAAATATCACATAAAAATGTTTAATGTTTAAAAATATATTATACGAATGAACAATTTACACACATTGACGCTGAGATGGGATTTAAATTGAAGAACTCAAACAATTCTACGCTCGACTGGATTTGCAGCACTTGTTCGAGGTTTTCTCAAAGAAGTTCATGGCTAGAATCACACAACTGTTACACTAAGCGCTTTGCATTTAGCAGTGCGATGTGCCTTTTTCTATACGAGTGAGTATGTGTAAATGTAAAATGAAGAATTTTAGTCTCGGCACACTGTGTGTATTTAAATTGAATGTCAGCACTGTGTTAACCTCTTGTCAACGCTGGCAGTGATCGATGACGGGTCACGTGTTCAATGCTGGTATGGTACTTAAATACTCTGGACAAATAATAAATAGCAGTTTTTGCCTTTTATTTGCCTATGCAAACAATTTTATTACAGGCAATATATTTTTTATACAAGTAATAATTAAAAAAAAAATTTAAAAGAAATATTTATGATATTTTAGAGATAAAAGTTTAAGTTTTTAATTGCCTTGGCAGAAAGCCAAGGGTGCAGCAGCTCACGTATATGTATGTATATATGTATTTATGGCGAATCAGTCATTTACTGTTGAGTGCTTGCAGATTCAGCTGAGAGGTAAGAAACAACATTTTCCGAACTTCAGTATATGTGTTGGATAGTTTGAGTATAAATTGTGAGTTGAACTAACTTTTAAAACATTTTGAATGTCTATTAGTTAGTAATTAAGTGATATGTGATATATAACTCTGAATAAATTTTCCTTAAATGTGAATATCTTATTACACTTTCTTAGCTGTTTCAATGAGTATTTCTCTGCTGAGTAAAAACTGTGAGCACTTCGCTATACCTTACGATTGATAACTGATTTTTATGAGTGATAAGCTTAAATTTTCTACGTACAGCTTCTTACTTTTATTTGTCGTGAGGAAAGATAACATCGCTTTGATTTGCATTATTTTATTGGTGAATATATGTATTACAAAAACCTCCACAGAAGTTAAACTTGCAAAATTTTCACTACTCATATTATCATTACCTGAATTCATCTATAGTAATCAATTTTTTATTTTTTTTTATTTTTAGATTTAAAATAGTTTTCCTCATCGCCAGACAACTTTTTTTCAGAATGAATCACGGATAATACAAGTACATTAAATTTTGTAAATTATTTTTTTTGTAATAAATAAAATGCCTCTTGGAAAAAATTACGACAGAACACGTTTTGTCAGACTTGCAAGTGAATATAACCCCTTAGATATATAAGAATATAATTTTTGTCAGTTCGAAAACAAATAGTATACATATGTACATATGTATGCATGTATAGTATGTATGTAAGTATGTATTCACTGCCTCACAAAAGAATTTGACAGCATAAAATTACAGTTTTTATGTAAAATTAAATGACCGATTCCTTACGAGCACTTTTCTCTTTTATTGCTTTGCCGTTGGTTTTTCTGTTTTTGCTTTGCTTTTAACTGTACCTAATTCTAAGTGACGAATTTTATTTACTTTTTGACACACTTGTCAAATCGCAAAGTTTTCATATTAGTTTGGTGTAAACAAACCCACTCAACTGACTAGCTGACGGACAATAAAATTTATTTTTCATGTTGTCGTAAATATATTTGCGTACGTCCGCTTTGTAGCAGCTCAATTGGCGTTTAAAAAAAGTGAAGACAAAACAACAAATGTACGGAAGTTGAAGTGAAAAAGTTTGCCCATAAATTTATGAGCCTTTAGTTGTTTACATTTTTATGTCGAGCAAATGTTAACAAATGTCATCGGAATAAACGAGTTCTTTTGAAATGTTGTCGCAGGATTCTATTGATTTTGAACAATAAATTACAATGAACCACTTTTGAGTTGGTCATTGTCAATAATAAAAGCTGGTTGAGTTGAAATTTTAATTTTGAGGACATTTGGGTCTTAATAACTCTGGGAGAATTAATTACCGATATTTTAGCACTTTAGACTAGTTCAGATACTTTCACCTACTGTGTTAGGTATTATTTACATACATATAATATATATTGTTTATTTACATACATATTACATATATGCACATATGT